CACTGTGCGCTCGTCTAAAATCTTTAGCGCCAATTTCATGTCCTGTTTTATTTGAAAAAAAATGCTTCGAGTCATCGAGAATAGATTTAATAACAATTTTGTCCCTTGGCTTTGTGTATTATATAATGTGAATTGTAAGATGTTTCTATTTGAATAGGGTATTAAAGTTGAGATTAAAGTTATACCAAATTATATTCACGGTAACTATATGTCTTTTATATAATAAAATATTTATTTATAATTTATAACCTTTTTTATAATTACTTATAACTGATTGTATAAATTCTGATAACTTTTATATATACATGTATAGTGTTGAATGTGTTATATGTAATTTTATTAACAATGTTATAATAAAATAATCAAGTTACAAATTTTTCGTGTTTTATTATAATTTCAGGGATAATTTCAACCTAGATTATTAATTTATTTGTATCAAAATACATTATTTTTATTTTGTAAAATGTTTTGTTACAAATAAGTTCATAATCTAGATTGAAATTACCAAATATAAGTAAAAAACTTATGAACTGGCAGTAAAGGTCCATTTAAAAATTAGGCGCGAATTTTTAGTTCTGCCAGTAGCCCGCTTGGATCGCGTCGAGCGCGTGTTTCCAGGCTTTAACATAGGAGTTTTCATTTCTTTCAGTTAGTTATTCTATGGTGATGATAAAGCAAAGCAAGTATTTCCATTAACATACAAACTGGATAAAATTTTCTCACATTTGCCAAAAAAAAGCTTTAAACGTCGAGCAGTTTAAGCAGAATCGTGGTTAATCAATTACTCAACTTAATCAAAAACACATTGTATGATTTTTAAAAAAAATGCAAAAAATGTAAAAAAACAAAATAAATTATGCGTGTCCAAGCGTTTTTCCGAAAGACTCACCGTTTTTTGAATAATAAATATTGTAATATTTGAGGGGCGTTTTCACCCTCTTGGAATTTGAGATTCGAGAAACCCCTCCTTATCGAACCTCAACCCCACAGTCAATCTGTTTGCCAAAAATCAACTTTAAACGTCAAGCAGTTTAAGCAAAATCGTGATTACTCAATGGTCATATTTTATGAAACACCCTGTATAAATTTATAAAAAATCTTAAAATATGTAAAACAACAAAATAAAATATACGTGTTTAAGAGTTTTTCCGAAAAACTCACCGGTTTTTAAATAAAAAATATTTTAATATTTGAGGGTGGTTTCACCCCCTTAGAATTCGAGTTTCGAAAAATCCCTCCTTATTGAACCTCTACACCCTAAAGTCAATCCGTTTTCCAAAAATCAGCTTTTTATGTCAAGGGCTTTAGGCAGGATCGTGATTAATCAATGACCAAATTTTTCAAAACACCCTGTATAAATTTTTAAAAATCTTAAAATATTCTGAAAATTTTTCAAATTAAATAAATACCTAAATATTGAAACTAAATAAGTAAGTACTGAAACATACAGCGCCATAATATCTCGACCTCCGCCCGTTATGCTCTTAACAGGTTGAAAAACAATGTATCTAAAACAACTGATGCCGTTATTCTCCAACCTGTTTCGAACCTCCATCGACAATCGACCGATGCAGCAGCGTTCCTTTCCCACTCCTGTTATCTCGACCGCCAGGCGTTATGCCCGCAACTGTTTCAAAAAAGCTGCTTCTTTTATGTTCTATTATTTTTAAGCTGTTGCAAGCCCCACGACCATCGACCGATGCAGCTACGTTCCCCACTCCGTTGTCCCTTGTATCTCGCCGCCTGTATCGATGGCTGTCGAAATAACATGTTTTCCATCCATAATCCATACTAGTTGTTTCTTGGAATTGCTTCGAGCAGCATCGAATTTCGTGGCGGTGCAGAGCGCCGACTTTGTTTCACGAACGGTCGATCTCTGCGTATCGTTATTTTATATCTGTTATTTTTTAAAAGTAGTAACGGTTGCGTTATGTTATTTCTAAATAATTGTTATAAAATAACAGATAGTTAAATAACAACCCATCACTAGTCTGTTTTCTTTTTTGAAGATGGGTTTAACGATACTTTTTGTTTGGTATCAGCAATTATTATACAACTGTAGTAAACTGTGTTTAAGAAGAAGCCCACCATACTTGTAAAGTTCAATATTTAGACCATCTGAATCTGTTGCTTTTCTATTTTTGCATCTCTCCAAAGCATCGTTAAATCCTTCCAAAGTGAGGAGATGTTGCTGTTATGTTTTAAGATTCCAAAATCAGGTTGATTGTACTACTAATAGGATACTGCAGTGCTCCTCTCAAGCCGAACCCATTCGTATTATCACTTTTGACGTCCCTGTAGCTTTGTTGTGAATAATGTAAGAATTTTAATTTTCAGTGATCAAGGAGACATACTATAACTGGCTATATTGGTAACATATTATGTAATAATGATACTTTATAGTTTATGAGTTATCGATAGTTAAAGTTATTTAATGTCCACAGTGGCACATTCATCGATCATCAAAATTGCAAGCATATACAGTGTGACCCACTCAAGACCGGGCACCCTCCATAAAATCTGTGTTTATAGTCCGATTTTGATGATTTTTTTTTCAAATATAAAGTTTCAAAAAATATACTTTAGGGCTCAATGTCATGTTATTTCACAAAAAACAAGGCCTACTTAAAAAAATCATATGAGCGATTTTTTTTCAAAAAATTTGAGTACACCCCTACATTCGGCATCCCCCAAAACAGTTCTGTACCAAATTTCGTTTAAAAATATTAATTATTAATAATTCTGCAGTTAAATTAAATAATTCCCTATTTTTGCCAATTTAACGATGAGTTATCACGTAACCCTTGAAAAAAACAATCCACAACAATGGGTTTTATTAGCTGTCAATTCTTGCAGCGTAGAATTGAATATTAATTTAATAGCACGCAGAAAAGTGTTGTATCAAGAAATATTATTTGCATTATGGAACAATTAAATATTAGGGATAAAATTGAAATTATTCGTTTAGTGGGTGATAACTATCTTCAAGCAGGAGAAGCTGCCAGAGAATTTAACAACAGACATCCCGACAGACCTGCAGTAAGTAGAAGCACGGTTCAACGAATAAATAGAGTTTTTAATGAAACTGGTTGTGTGTCAAAATACTTACTAAAAAACAGAAGGCCGGAACATCGAATAAATAGGCGGAATGAGGAAATATTAGAATATTTTCGTAACAATCCTCGTGCAAGCATTAGAGGCGCCAGTGTTGATTTGGATATACCAAGGGAAAATATTAGGAGATGTTTGCGAACTAATAAAGTTAAACCCTTTAAACCAAAGATTTTACACACTTTGGAAAACGGAGATGATGTTAGACGATTAGAATTCTGCTTATGGGCTCAAGCAGAGTATTTAAATAATAGAAATTTCTTAAAAGAAATTTTATTTAGTGATGAGGCAACATTTAGTACAAACGGAGTAGTATCCTCTCAAAATTCGCGATTCTGGGCAGTCGAAAACCCTGAATGGGTGATCAATACAAGAAGACAGTATTCTCAGAAATTAAATGTGTGGTGTGGCATACTTGATGATAGAATCATTGGTCCATATTTTTTTGAGAGAAATTTGAATAGTCCAACGTTTTTGAATTTTCTGATTAATGACTTTTGGGATGCAATACATAATTTACCATGCCAAACCCGTTTGAATTTAAAATTTCAATTGGACGGATCACCTGTGCATAACGCGGCAGTTGTCAGGGAATGGTTAAATGAAAATTTTGAAAATAAGTGGATAGGTCGAAATAGCCCGCTAATTGGTGGCCACCGAGATCCCCGGACCTAACACCCCTTGATTTCTTTCTTTGGGGTTTCTTAAAAGCAACAAGTTTACAAGTCTAGACCTCAGTCTGTAGATTGAATTACGTATTAGAATTACAGAGGCTTCTGCAAATATTACACCACAGCAGCTTAGGAATGTAACTGTTAATCTAAGAAAAAGATGCGACAAATGTATTGAACTGAATGGAGGGCTGGTAGAAGCAACTAGAATTATTTGAATATGTTTAACTTATTATTCGGTTATTGTGTTGCTTGTAGTATTTTTATCATTGTTTGTAATAAAACTCGTTGTCGTGGATTGTTTTTTCAAGGGTTACTTGATAACTCATCGTTAAATTGGCAAAAAATAGGGAATTATTTTAATTTAACTGCAGAATTATTAATAATTAATATTTTTAAACGAAATTTGGTACAGAACTGTTTTGGGGGATGCCGAATGCAGGGGTCTACTCAAATTTTTTGAAAAAAAATCGCTAATATGATTTTGCAAATTTTTCACCACAAAAACTTTATTAAGTAGGCCTTGTTTTTTGTGAAATAACATGACATTGAGCCCTAAAGTACATTTTTTGAAACTCTATATTTGAAAAAAAAATCATCAAAATCGGACTATAAACACAGATTTTATGGAGGGTGCCCGGTCTTGAGTGGGTCACACTGTAGATAAAAGAAAATAACCATCTTAAGGTACTTTTGAAAGTGTCACAAGCTTCAAATTTTGTATCCTAGTTAGAGTTTAGAACCTTCAACTTATTAGTTTAACTTTTTGTTTATGATTTTCATGGGATAAAAACTTTACTAAATTGTATAAATTAAATTTGGTTTGTTTGGTTTTACTCATTATATTTCTGAACATGATTTCCCTTTCTTTAATAATAATTTTCTAAAAGAGTTTCGATATTTTGTATTTATTACAAAACTTGTTAATAGAGTTTTTCACTAATATTGGTCAGCTAAATTAGACACTAGGTATATTTATATTTATCTGAATTTGAATTGAAAAAATATAACAGTTAAAGTCTGTTTAAACTGGGACAAAATGAAATGTTAAACATATTGTGCTTCTAACATGTTACATGCATTAAATTTCGCTAAGGCAAGATTGCGTTGCAAATATATCTCTGCCTCGATCGTTTATTACAGCTTCAATACAAAGAAGGCCTTAGAGTAAATGCCTATTTTTTAATTCTCTTCAAACTATTTCAACTATCTACTTACGTTATGCCTCCATTCGACCTTGTACACGGGCGGGTGAGCGCTAATGATGCAATCAAAATACACATCGGTCCCCTCTCGCACAGCGTCCGGATTAAGGGACGTTCCCAAAATGATCCGGGCCTCGGGCGTATCTGGAACAGAAATCCCGTTTAGTTTGGTGTTTTATAAGTTTCTGCCTGGCTTTTGGATCTTATAGGCCAGCATTGATCCGAATAACGACACCAGAACTAGGAACGGAACAAGATTTCCGGGTTTGGACTGACTTCCGGGTTTGGACTGGCTTTGTTAAGTTGATGAATTTGTTTAAGACAGAGAGTAGGAAGTTGTACAGGGTGTCCCATTTTAGTTAAAATCATTGCAGTAAATAATGAAAATAAATATAGAGTGATATACAGGGTGTTTCAAAACCAATGCGAAAAACTTCAGGGGATGATTCCTTGTTCAAAATAAAGGGTAGTTTGCTTCATAAACGTTCGGTCAAAAGTCAGCCATTAGGGAGATATCGCGGTACAAAGATGGCGGAAAAATAATATTTTTATTTTTTATCTTGAAAACGAAAAGAGATAGACTAATAAAAATTTATGGAAGCATTACTGTTATGGAAACACACTTTCTGGTAATTTTTTCACTTTTTTAAAATGAGTGGAAGGTGTTTAAATAAACTACACCTATCATTCTTGTTTTTTACGAAATTTAAAGAAAAATCTTATCAAACACATGCAGAAAAATTAATTTGGATAGTTTAGTTTGTTTAGAAACTTTTTTATCTCTTGTATTTTTTTGATAAAACTCACCGATTTGAAATTAAAAAATAAAATGTAAAGCATTACATGCCAGGACAAAATACATTTTCTGATAAAGAATCTAGTGGGCTGCTGTAATTTTTTTAGGAAAAAATCTAGTCGGCCGCTGTTACTTTTTAGGATGTTCCTAATATTATTTTATTTGACATTACTCTACTGCAATACGTTATTATCTAGATGATTATTATTATCGTTATTATCACTAGATTCTTAATCTAAAAATGTTTTTTGTCCTGACATGTAATGCTTTATATTTTATTTTTTAATTTCAAATCGACAATTCTATCAAAAACCTAAGAGATAAAGGACTAAACAATAAGCAAATATTTTGCATGTATTCGATAAGATTTTTTCTTTCAGATTAACAAATGATGAGGTCAGTTCACTCATTTAAAAAGGGCATCCTGGTAACTCCATACATCTATCTCTTTGTTTTTCAAGATAAAAAATAAAAACATTATTTTTCCGCCATCTTTGTACCGCGATATCTCCCTAATGGTTGACTTTTGACCCAACGTTTATAAAGCAAACTACCCTTTATTTTGAACAAGGAATCACCCCCTAAAGTTTTTCGCATTTGTTTTAAAACACCCTGTATATTTTTTGAGAAGCTCATAGCAAGCGGATCATATACTCCATGTGCTCCATTTAAAAAAAAAACATTACTTTAGTTCATATTTTCATCTAAATATTGACGTTATTTCAGAAATTATTTGGAAAAATCGAAATAAAAATGAAACTTCTACACCTTCTCTAACTAAGCACTTTTAGAACATACATTTATACGAACTTCCTATACTTATTAAAAAAAATACAGTTCGGATCACGCTATAGATATTTTTTAACTGTTTTTTCTGTTTTTATCTATAGTATCACCCAAGTTTAGGACACTATTTTTTAACACCCTATAAAATATTGTCAAGAGCAAGAATTTATGTATTTATCATTAAAATAAATCACCCAATATATTAAATAAAATATTTCTATACACAATAAAAATTAAACTAGAACAAGTTGACGTCAGACTAAGACCTGAAGGTGAACTTTGTTTAATTCTTATTGTTGTAAACATCAATATGTAGAATAATTAAAAAGTAAATGAGTAGAGAGTCTCGGGGGCTCTCGGAGAGAATAAATCGAGAAGTCATGCTGTTGAGTTGAGTTGAGTTCACCAAGCATAATAATGACAGTAAAGTAAGTTTATAATTTTTTATATATTTTCTCTTAGTATATTTTATTGGTCAAAAAATATTCCTTGACATTTCTCCTACCTAAATTAATGTATTTAATTCTTTAATAAATCTATATTTTGTTTTTATATGTATACAGGGTGTTTCAAAACAAATGCGAAAAACTTCAGGCGGTGATTCCTTGTTCAAAATAAAGGGTAGTTTGCTTTATAAACGTTGGGTCAAAAGTCAACCATTAGGGGGATATCGCGGTACAAAGATGGCGGAAAAATAATGTTTCTATTTTTTATCTTGAAAACGAAAAGCGATAGACTAATGAAATTTTATGGAAGCATTACTGTTATGAAAACTCACTTTCTGGTAATTTTCTCACTTTTTTAAAATGGGTGGAAGGGGTTGAAATAAACTACCCCTATCATTCTTGTTAACGAAATTTAAAGAAAAATATTATCAAGCACATGCAGAAAAATTAATTTGGATAGTTTAGTTGGTTTAGAAACTTTTTTATCTCTTGTGTTTTTTTGATAATACTTACCGATTTGAAATTAAAAAATAAAATGTAAAGCATTACATGTCAGGATAAAAAACATTTTTAGATAAAGAATCTAGTGGGCTGCTGTATTTTTTTATGATGTTTCAAATATTATTTTATTTGACAGTACTTTACTGCAATACGTTATTATCTTACGATCAATTAATTATTCCGAAGTCCTCCTTTATCTAAAAATGTTTTTTGTCCTGACATGTAATGCTGTACATTTTATTTTTTAATTTCAAATCGATGTTTTATCAAAAAACCACAAGAGATAAAAAAATTTCTAAATAAACTATACTATCCAAATTAATTTGTATGCATGTGTTTGATAAAATTGTTCTTTAAAAGTCGTTAACAAGAGTGATAGGCGTAGTTTATTTCAATCCCATCCACTCATTTTAAAAAAGTGAGAAAATTACCAGAAAGTGTGTTTTCATAACAGTAATGCTTCCATAAAATTTCATTAGTCTATCTCTTTTTGTTTTCAAGATAAAAAATAAAAACATTATTTTTCCGCCATCTTTGTACCGCGATATCTCCCTAATGGTTGACTTTTGACTCAACGTTTATGAAGCAAACTACCCTTTATTTTGAAGAAGGAATCACTCCCTGAAGTTTTTCGCATTTGTTTTGAAACACCCGTATATTCGTTGTTTTAATGATCTCCGTTACCTAAAACGTCCCTAGCCGCAACCCTCTAAACAAGGGTCGCGACAATATATTTCCTTTTGTTTAGATTCTTATATATTTTAAATAATTTTTAAGCATTTAAAGGCACTATATTTTTTGCTAATTGAAAATAAATGGATACATATTTCACCGAATAATATTTAACTGTTTAAATTTTCAGATTAATGAAAAGTTAGGCCGGTGTTGCGTACGATTGATTTTTGCGATATGATAAATCACTTTTGTAGGTATTTGTCAATGTGGAAATTGATGGATTTTTATTTAAAAAGTATTTTTACAAGGGGTAGCGACAAAACAATATCTCTCTGATAATTAATTGTATCAAATTAGTTATTTGAAAATTTGATATTCAACTGCGATATTTGAGTGGGACTATCGAGTTTAAATTTATTATTTTCTTGTGCAGCGATATTTAATAAATTTGTGTTTAAAATATCATTTTAATTATTATAAAATATAATAAAAAAATTCAGCGATATATGCGAGAGTGTGCGGATGACATTACTTTACTAAAGCGGGAGTATTTAGTGAAAAAATTATATTGAAAAATATATTAAAAATAAATATTTCAGTAGAGATTCCAAGGAGTTAATTTAGAGCTATAAAAATAAATAAAAATATATAGAGTTCTACACGGTTTCCAAAAAAAGTTACACATTAAAGTTGTTACAGTTGAGGGTTGGAACTTTGGTGTTACATAGCAAAATAAAAACACTAAATCACCTCAATACACCAAAACACTTTTACTCTTACACTGGACGCGCGTTTCGCTAACCATGTTAGCATCATCAGCAGATGATTATAGACTGTTAAAGTTTGTTTTTTTTACTGATTTTTGGATTCTAGAAAAAAATAAAGGTGAGTTTCATTAGAGAAGCATGTCACTAAAATATTTCTGGTCTTATTAAAGTGTCTAAAAGAAATGGTAATCAGAGACAAAGCGGTTATGTCACGTTAGGCGAATACAATTATTGAATCAATGGATCTTTGCGTGCACGTCATCGTTTGTTTTTAACTTTAGGTCCGACAAATCTTTTTTTTAAACTTTAGTTCTGAGAACGACAGTTCCTATTGAGATGAAATTTTGTAAACATAATACGTAAGTTAATTTAGAGCATTTTTTAAAAAGGTATAGAGTTCTACACGGTGTTTCCAAAAAAAGTTACACATTAAAGTTGTGTTTTTTACTGATTTTTGGATTCTACAAAAAAATAAAGGTGAGTTTCATTAGAGAAGCATATCACTAAAATATAAGGCTTTTCATATACATTCAGTTACAGAAAAAAAGGAAACGGAGAAATTTTGGTTATATTTTTGTTATTTTTAGCCCTATTTTCATGAATTTTTTAGTAAGCTGTATACAGGGTGGCCCATCGAAAACATTCCGCAAGGCACAGCGGCCAGGGTATTTTTTTTTCAAAAAATCCAAAAACAGGTCAATTTTGTTTTGTGACGGGGACAACTTTTGCCCTAAAATGATTGCAAAATCTCCAACCCTCTAAGCGGGGGCACAGTGCTTCGTTCCATGGACAAAAATCAAAAAATAAGTTAAAATTTACTAATATCTGAATATATAATTTTATACTTATAGCAATGTTCAACCATCCTGTATATTATTTTTCATAAACAGCGTTTTTGTTAGCAAATATTTTCACTAAAAATAAATTTTGCGATCATTATCTCATCAGTGAAAAGAATAACATTCATAGTAGTTCTGTATATTATGGAGTTAAACGGGTACGTACTTAATTGAAAGCCACTATGGATATTGTTAAACAAAGGTACGTACTTTAAATTTATTTCTAAACAAGTTCGTGATTGTTTAGTTTTTATTTATTTTTTAAGATGATTCTTAAATGGGTATAAAAATTTTACGTTTTCAAACTTCAAAAGGCATTTCAAAAAACATATCAAAACATATCGTATTTATTGAATATTTTTGTTGCCATATTCATTCACTTTTAATTTTTGTATAGTTCACCTGCGTCTGCTTGCGACGAACTTTATTTTATAATATTTTTCAGATGGAGTAAAATTGATAAGCAATGCCGATCTGGCTAATACTTGGCTTGATCATAAGGACAAGAACTCAAAATTATTTGTATTTCAAAAAATATGTTCTTATTAGATATTGATGAACCTTCCAGTCAAATGAGACACCAGTTGTGCCTGAAAAAGTCCACTATGTTGGAGTGAAACGTCGCATAAAAAAAGTGTCCCCCCATCTTTCAATTTATTATAAAATCTCATACCCAAGAAAAGGAAAAAATAATATATGGATACGGTCTATTAAAGAGGTAACTATTAACATCCGAACCCCTCATACCGACAAAATGAACAGTAACAACGCGAAAAAGTAACATATTAGAAAATGATGTCCAGAAATATCTTATATGTGAGGATACTTCATCTACCTGTGATTTGGATACTATAAATTTGGAAGATTCTGTCAGCAGTTATTCTCCTGAATCAGAGTAGTTACGATCTATGCATTTTGTTGTCCTAAAGTAAATTTATAGTATCTTAAGTTTTTTTTTAATTAAATATAACATTAATGTTTCTTTTTCATTAGAAAAGAAAAACATTTTTATCTTATATTAGGTTTATATTGTAGGAATCATGTTCTAATGTTATTCCAATTCTTTTTTATCACAGGAATTTATTTAATACTTACACCGTTTTCATACTATAACTTATTATTTGCTTAGATGGAACACAGCTCCAACATTATTATTATTTATAAGCTTTTTTTTTCATAAACGTGGGACTAAGAACATCATCATTTAGTACAATGAGAGTACTCATCATTTGTGTCAAATAAACCTAGTTTGAATAAATTGCTTACAACAAAAGAGAAGTTTTGGATTTTTGTCCTCTAGAGCCATATGTTCGAAGCACTGTGGGGGTGTCACTACCCAACTTTTTTCTAAGAGCTTTCTATTCTTTATATTTCCCCGCCTCGTTTTTGAAAATCGCTGGAGTCATTGAGAAAACATGAAGGATTGATATTTGAAAGGTTTATTTAAACATTTATCAGAGTAAATGATAAGGATAAATTCCTTCGACCAATTTGAGGTTTTTTCTTATTATTTCTAGATGTTTACGCCTTTTTTCACTTGCCAGAAGGTTGAACGATCAGGTGCGGCAGTTGCTAGATAGCTGTTCTGTGACTTGTGTTCTTTGACTATCATAGTTGCGAGTCGTTTGACTGTAAGGCAACGCGGTCGTTTGACCACAAGAAGAAAACCTCTTGTGACGTCCTGCCTTCGAGTTGGTCTTCAGAGTTTGAGGTCTCCATAATGTCTTCTCGCTTGACGATGCGGCGTTGGGGTAGTGAGGTACCCCAATTAGCCTATTCGATTGGGATACAAATCTGTTTAGCGGCAGATTTGCGTCCGGGGGAAGCCCCTATATTATTTCAGGTGACACTAGCTAGTTGTTGAAGATTATTAACCAATAGATCCGAATAATATTTGAATTAGATGGAAGATATGGAATGGAATATATTATTACAGTTGAGGGTTGGAACCTTTGGTGTTAAACAGCAAAATAAAAACACTAAATCACCACAATACACCAAAACATTTTTACTTTTACACTGGACGCTTTCAGTTTATAATCATCTGCTGATGATGCTAACATGGTTAGCGAAACGCGCGTCCAGTGTAAAAGTAAAAGTGTTTTGGTGTATTGTGGTGATTTAGTGTTTTTATTTTGGGATATATTAAATAGAATGTTAGTGATGTCAGTGGCTAGGGGGCGGAGTACCCCTGGGTGAGTTTTACTATTTAACTATCAATTTTATCCAGATCAGTAAATGTTTGTTTTGTTATTTTCATGTACAATGAGAGAGTGCTTGCCAATGACCAACTAAATGGATATTTGAGGTGAATTTGCATTGTGAGACCCGGTTGAGTAAGCCCCAGAAATCAGCGAAAATATTAAGGTATTTTTAAAATTTTTTTTCTTCTGTTTGTATACTTAACTGTTACAGATGTAGGTATTCTTTAATATCGTTGGTTCTGTTATAGTTATTAATGTTTATTAAAATGAGGACTCTATTGTTAGTCTTTATTTTTTTTAAATTTAGTATAGAGTATTCAATGTAGTTTATTACATTTAAACCTTACTGTTTTTGAAATATTTTCAATTTTGTAAAATTGCATTATAAATTTTAAGGCTTCATTTCTCCGAGGGTATCAAAGTTTTTAATACCAAATATTTACTGAAGTTTATTTATTGATCAGTTATTGTGTTGCAATAATAAAAATTACACTACCTTATACAGAGTCTCTAAAAAATTATTTTAAATAATTACTAGCTTTAAACGGCAATAACTTGTTTAATTTAAATGGAACACCCTGTATATTTTATGAGAATCAGATGCATAATTTAATTGTCTATCAAATTGTATTATACCACTTTTTACCTATCCTGTCAAGTTTTCGTAGAAAATGCATTCTTTTATAATTTAGACCTCATTTATCAATATACCTATGGAATATTGACATTTTAGATTGTTTTTAAAACAACAAATGTACAAAATGTACAGTGTATGTTTTAGCAAAACGATAATATTACTAGCCCATTTGTATGCAAAAAGAAAACTATTTAAATCTTTATAAAAGAATAATAATATAAATATACCACCAATATTTCAGTTAATAAAATATTCTAAATAAATGTGGATTTGAATCAGAAATCAATATAATAATAAGTTTTGAAAATGAACGTCTCCGTTTTTATAAATTAGCATTCGTCAATAAATGAAATAAAATTTATAAAGTCTTACTTTTTACCACATTGTCTAATACACACACACAAAATTCAGTTTTTCAGTTTTGGAGCAATTATTATTAATCAACGCAAACAGTCAATTAATGTAGTTTGAATACTGGAATCATATTAATTGATCCTCTTTAACAAATATTTAAACAGTTTTTTTTTATTTTTTAATGAAATAAACGAACTATATCGACAATATTAGTATCTGTACTCTTTAAAATTTGGTACATCATTAAAAATAATCTGAAATGTCAGTATTCCATGGGTATATTGATAAATGAGTTCTAAATTACAAGAAAATGCATGTTCTACGGAAACTTGAAGAGATAGGTAAAAAATTGTATAATACAATTTGATAGACAATTAAATGGCACATCTGATTCTAATAAAATATACAGGGTGTTCCATTTAAATTAAATAAGTTATTGCCGTTTAAAGGTAATAATTATTTAAAATAAATATTTAGACACTCTGTATAAGGTAGTCAAATTTTTAATATTTGCAACACTGATACAACAATAACTGATCAAAAAATAAACTTCAGTAAATATTTAGTGTTAAAAACTTTGATACCCTCGGAGAAATGAAGCCTTAAAATTTATACTGCAATTTCACAAAATTGAAAATATTTCAAAAACGGTATGGTTTAAGTGTAATAAACCTTAATCAAATTTACCTTTATTTTAATCGTAAAAACTTGTAGCTTTAATAGTCCTTCAACGAACCCAAAACTTACAATTTGTAAAAATCTAATCGTTTAACTACAATATTACGTGTCGTATGTGGTGAACAACCCTGTAGACAATGACATAAAATATTGTCAACTTATTCCTATTTTTATAAAAATTTAGTTAAATTAGGTCATGTTATAATTGACAAAGACGTATTTCGAAGGAAACATTTTTTTCTTGAGTGGAAAAATTGAAATAAAAATTGTGAATAAAAATTTTAATAAATCTAAATTTTAATCAAAATACTGATATAAAGATATAAATAAGGATATTTTACTCACAATGTATCTCCAGCTTCCATCCATCTTCCAAATTTTCGGATGACATTACTTTATTTTCCGCCCGGCAAGATAAATACTTTCCATCATCCTCCTTTTTCGGCACGAACGAAAGGTCGACGTTGTCATATTTCCATCGTTTGAGGTCTGAAAAAAACGAAAAAAATATTTCATAATAGGAAATACGACTATATTTTAATGTATTAAAAAATGATTGTCGCATAAATGCGTTACTGTATTTTTTTCAATTCGAAATAAACTACTATAAAAGATTATATTATTTACTAGCGTATAGCAGCGACTTCGTTCGCGTCGAATTAACCATTTGTAATGGTGATGATAAAGCAAAACAAGAATTTCCATTAACATACAAACTGGACAAAATTTTCTCACATTTATGTCAGCATGAGAAAAAACAATATGGCGATATTATTATATAAGTTGGTAATATTTGAATATATATATATATAATTGTCCAACGAGAAGATCCTAGTTTATTTTATTTTACAAAGAAATAAGTTGGTACAACTGTAACGCATAGCAGGATATATTTAAAATTTGATTGACAAGATGACAAGTGATTACTTCAAAATATTGTGAAAAAAACTATATAAAACTAAAAAAATGTAATCGAGTTATTTTATTTAATAAAAACGGTATGTGTTAATACAAAAGAAACAAGAACAAGACACCACATACCAAAAATATAAAATATAAAAATGAACTATTATTTACTTTCAAGCTTTATGAAACTACCCGCATTTATGATTATATTTATCAATATAACTTATGTACAAATACAAATTTGTAATATTCCACAGGAATAAATAAAACAACATAGGTAAATAAAACAAACTATTTTATTAATAATAACACCTACCAAATTTTATACCTTAAAGGTTGATTAATTAACTTTAATCTTAATTTTTTAAACCAGTACCTTTTGACATTATTTTTCTGCAGTACTAAAATCCATTATTTACCTATCGTGTGATGTCGATATTTTACAGCTACTCCAGTTTTTAGTATGTGTTTAGTTTGATCCTTCTACCATATACGAGATGCACTTATCTACGACGAAATGGTATACAAACTTTATCGATGGCAACTTCATTGGTGTATAATGGTGTATAAGACTTTCTGCCTGGGCAGCCAGTATTAACCATAAACTGTGCTCTGGCTCTACAGTTAATTTTCACTCGATTTTTTTCCACTTGACTTCAAAAGACACAAAACACACGTAATAATACGAATCAAATGCATCATCTTCCAAAACGCAGGGTATTTAACAAAAGTTGACACAAAATTATAACCTATAACTTGGCAAGACTTTGACAAGCGTCAAAAATGACAAAAATCTAAAGGCGAGTTCATACGCATCGGCGTCCGTTTGTCGTTCATCGTTCCGTCAAACCAATAAAATTGAAATACGATCTGTCATTTTTTAAATAAACCAATAAAACTGGTTAAAAACAACAAGACACGACGCATGACGGATTTATATTTAAACCCATCCATAGATAACTTAAAAATGATTAGAAACTTTTTTTTAGTAAAATAAATAGATTGGTATGGGACGTCATCTGCTTTTCTTCTGTCATCGTATGTCGAAATCTTACCTGAGAAAAAAAACAGAGTATAGTTTCATCTCGTTGGAATTTGACTTTCGAAAAATCCGTTTGCCAAAAATAAGCCTTTTACGTCAAGCAGATTAAGCAGAATCGTGTTCAATCAATTACCCAACTTTTTGGAACACCCTGTATGATTTTTTAAAAAATTTCAAAATATGAAAAAAAATCAAAATAAATTATGCGTGTCCAAGCGTTTTCCCGAAAGACTAACCGTTTTTTAAATAACAAATATTGTAATATTTGAGGGGCGTTTTTACCCTCTTAGAATTTGAGATTCGAGAAACCCCTCCTTATCGAACCTCTACACCACACAGTCAACCCGTTTGCCAAAAATCAGCTTTAAACGTCAAGCAGTTTAAGCAGAATCGTGATTACTCAATGGTCATATTTTATGAAACACCCTGTATAAATTTTTAAAAAACCTTAAAATATGTAAAACAATAAAATAAAATATACGTGTTTAAGAGTTTTTCCGAAAAACTCACCGGTTTCTAAATAAAAAATATTCTAATATATGAGGGCTGGTTTCACCCCCTTAGAATTCGAGTTTCGAAAAATCCCTTCTTATCGAACCTCTACACCCTAAAGTCAATCTGTTTTTTCAGAAATCACCTTTTTACGTCAAGCGCTTTAAGCAGGATCGTGATTTTTCGAAACACTCTGTATAAATTTTTAAAAAATCTTAAAATATGTAAAAAAACAAAATAAAATATACGTGTTTAAGCGTTTTTTCGGAAACTTGACCGTTTTTTAAATAAAAAATATTGTAATATTTGAGAAGTGGTTTCACCCCCTTGGAACTGGAATTTCGAAAAATCCCTTCTTATCGAATCTCTACACCCTTGTAGCATAATTAATAAAATATGTGGGAAATGTTAAATATAATACATTAATTTAATATAATAGTAAAACAGGTTTCTGGATCTTAACATTAGGTTTCTTATAAACTAATATATAGATGGCCCTTGTAGTTCAATTTATAAATTTCGCTTTTTTCGAACTTTGTAGAACTTTTCCTAAACCACCCTTACAACCATCAGCGTGGAGAATAAAAAAGATAATATTTCCTGCAGTAGTTGTTTTATTGACCAGTCTTCAGAACCTTACGTTACACCCTCATGTATGCCTGTATGCCAAAATTGAGCTTCTTACGTTGAGTGGTTTGAGCAGGATCGTGATTAATCAGTGAGTCAGTCACTTAAGGATTTTATATATTAGTATGGATTCCTTTTATCACAGTGACTCTCGAATGGCGAAATTTGAAAACAGCTAAATGTGCATGGCAGTAGTACGGGAATGTTAATATTATAACATGAAAGGGTTTCCTATTAATCCCGCTCCCCGAACTTAGATGGAAATATGCTCTATGCATACCAATCGTATCGCTTTATTCCGTTGCATTATTTAAGGAAAATGGAGATTGGACTCACGTAACGTAGTTACTATGACATCCTTTTTTTCTCAGACGGTAATGGGGTTTTTCTTAAAATATGGATATAATGTATTCTTAAATTTCAATATACAGTATGTCCCCGGATTTTCTGTACAAGAGGAGAACTTTTTTGTTGCTGATGTTTCGAGAAAAATGCATTTTTCATAAAAAAATTTGCTTGTTCTAAAATGGTTAATCCAGTTTATACTTTTCATATTAAGTAGTTACTATGCAGTAAAAATAAAAAATATATATAACACTTTAAATATGACGAAAAAGTTTTACAGATACCTTTCGCAATAAAAGACATACGAGGGGTGTGCCAAATTGGAAAATTTTTCAAAAAGACCCTGTAGCTCAGAAACAAAGAGGACTATGAAAATTTTGTTTACCGCATTTTTCGTTTGAAAAAAAAATGGGACAGGTTTGTGCAAACCGCATACTTCTATCTTTACTAATAACGGAGATACATACATAGTTGTCGATTTTCGAAAGAAATCAGTACATATATATTATTTCGTATATTTTTCATTTTATTGATTTTATGGAAAGCACTGTTCATTAAAATGTTGTATCCTATGTTTTAGGGCTATTTTCTTTCTACAATTTTCTGTCTCACAATGTACCGTTTGTGACCAGGAAGAGTTCATAGTTTCGTAGATGTCGATTTTCGAAAGAAATCAGAACATGTATATTATTTCGTATATTCTTCTTTTTATTGATTTTATGGAATGCACTGTTCATTAAAATGTCGTATCCTATGTTATAGGGCTTGTTTTTATCTACAATTTCCTGTCTCACAATGTACCGTTTGTGACTAGGAAAGGTTCATAGTTTCATAGATGTCGATTTTCGAAAGAAATCAGAACATGTATATTATTTCGTATATTCTTCTTTTTATTGATTTTATGGAAAGCACTGTTCATTAAAATGTTGTATCCTATGTTATAGGGCTTGTTTTTATCTACAATTTCCTGTCTCACAATGTACCGTTTGTGACTAGGAAAGGTTCATAGTTTCATAGATGTCGATTTTCGAAAGAAATCAGAACATGTATGTTCGTATAGTGTAGTATGTGTTTCGTATGTGTTTCGTATATTCTTCTTTTTATTGATTTTATGGAATGCACTGTTCATTAAAATGTTGTATCCTATGTTATAGGGCTTGTTTTTATCTACAATTTCCTGTCTCACAATGTACCGTTTGTGACTAGGAAAGGTTCATAGTTTCATAGATGTCGATTTTCGAAAGAAATCAGAACATGTATATTATTTCGTATATTCTTTATTTTATTGATTTTATGGAAAGCACTGTTCATTAAAATGTTGTATCCTATGTTCTAGGGCTTGCTTCTCTCTACAATTTCCTCACTCTCACAATGTACCGTTTGTGACCAGAAAAGGTTTATAGTTTCATAGATGTCGATTTTCGAAAGAAATCAGAACATTATTATTTTGTATATTCTTCATTTTATTGATTTTATGGAAAGCACTGTTCATTAAAATGTTATATCCTATGGTATAGGGCAACTGTTTAAAGACTGTACATACTGTATGTATGATGTCGACCAAAATAGTTTAAAACATAACACTACCAAATATGAAGAAACCAATACGAGTATATCATGCATTATAATATATAAGGAATATATACATATTTAGTTAATACGTGGAGTAACATAAAGGAAAAAAAAACTTAAACATGCTACAAAGACAACAAAATAAAATACTAAAAATAATATTTAACCTAGATAAACTAACACCAACAATTAAAATAATTAATTAATTAATTCATTTAATAATTATTTAAAATAATAAATAATAATTAATTAATATAAATAATAAATAATTTAATTTAATAATAATAATAATTTCCTTAATTTCCTTTTTGTTAAAATACTTGCACTTATTTTTGGGACACCCTATATAATATGTTACCAAAAGAAGTATATCATAAAAACAAAAGAGAACTAAATATAAGACAATTAACAAAATATCATAATATATTACTTCTACACAAAATCAAAACTAAATTAATGAAAACAAATATTTTTTTAAAAAAACTAACAAACAAATACACACTTA